CCCTCTCCCCCTCTCTCTCCCTCTCCCACTTCCCCCTCTCTCCCATGCACACACGTTCTCTCTCTTAAAAAAAAAAAAAGACCTCCTAAATCAGATGAAAGTTTGGTACTGACTTCCACAACGTCTGGAAATTAATTTTTGTTTTCTCCCTTAAAGCTAGAAATATCACTATGTCTTTGACAGTGTGTGTATCAGCAGTTCTTGCGGTATGGTCGGGGGAACCCCTGGGGATTCCTGAGACCTTGTCAGGTGGTTAAAGCTATTTTCAGGAAAATACTAAAATATTATTTGCCGATTTTATCCTGATTCTCTTATGGGCGCATAGTTGAGCTTTCCAGAGGCTGTGTGACCTGGGATTTTGTCACTGTTTGAATGTAGAGGCAGAAATGAGAATCTAGCTGCCTTCTAGTAACACATCGAACAGATTTGCAAAACAGTAAAGCAGTGCCACTCTTTTCACGACATTTTTGGGCATAAAATATAGTCTTTGACATAAAAAGATATTTATATATAATGGTGCATTAATGTTACCATAAATTAAATGTCTTTAACATGTCTGAGTTTTAATTTCTATATTGACAAATAGGTCCCATGTAAACAAAAGCTCTCTGAGGTCCTCGATGCTTTTCAAAAGCATTAAAGCACTTCCGTGACCACAGCGTTGGTGACCTGCTGGAGGCATTGTCTAGCTACATTTTGTAGGAGATAGGTTATGTTTTGAAAATTCCTGATGGGGGGGACGGAAACCCAGTGCCATATTCATTGCTAATGGGATAAGTTGCAGGTAATTTGGAAATATGTATCAAGAACTTTAACAATGTGTTAAGCTGAAATTCTGGAAATTTATCCTGAAAAACCTAGGACTGATATATGCTACATTTTCTACAAAATGTTCATTGAGGTGTTCGTACACCAGAAAAAGATAGGAGTCACTCTTATGTCCACAAAAGGAAATTGATAAAACAAGTCACGAAGCGGTGTATTCTTACAGCAGTAAAAGATGTCCGTGGCAATAGGAAGTGACAAAAAACAAAACAAAACAAAACAAAAAACACCCAGGAAAAGATGTAAAAAGGACTTCATCATGTAAGAAATTATACGGAATCAAATTTTTCATCTATTATCTGGGATAATGGATACTTTTCATTTGTCATCTTTTACTTGAC